CATCATGCGGCGAGTTGTTCACCTCCTCAGCCACTGCCAAATCCTCTGAATGAACCTCACCATCTCCAAGATCGATGTCTAGTGTTTTTTTTGGGGCTGGAGCGGTACGTCTCGGGCAGCGACTCCCAACTACAGCCGGGTACCATCCTGAATACGGCAAACATATGTCTGCACGGTAGTGCTTTCAGATTCCAGTACTCGCAAGAGCATGAGGGTGTGTCAAAGCTAACAAGATGAGTCCTCCCAAATGACTTGACATGGTACTGGTGATCCCCAACAGCTTCAACATTCTCTACAGAGAAAGAGGAGAAGGATATTTTCAGAAAATAACGATAAGTAGTTCTCAAAGGGATTGGTGGATGGGTGAATCAAAACTGATGGACTCTCTTAAAGGGGAAGTGCATCGATTTTTCGAGTACGGTCCAGAAGAAAGACAATTTGATATTGGTTCGAACGGCATATCTCTCGCTTTCATACGATAAGCCAAACTTGCCAAATCGCCAATTGTATACTCACGTTGCCATAGCGACTAGCGCAGTGATGACGTACGAAAGGCTTAGCTCCACCACAGAGAAGGTCGATCACAGCAGAATTTGGTCATTTTCAATTGGTTTATTGTATTCATGAAGTGAAAGAAGGGCTGTGTTCAATGCTGTTAGTGCAGTGAACTGTTTGTTAGTAGTCAACTCGGTTGTGCACTGGGACGTGACACCGACAGGAGAAAGCTGGAGTGCGGAGACACCAGCAGACAAGCGAAAATTGTGACGAACACAATGCTGAAATCTTGGTTGGGACAAATCAGACGTTCAGCATTTCCCCCAACCAAGGACAATGCCGTTTGCTCTTTCCACTTCCTGAAGATGAATGTGATACTTCCTGGCGACTCTCCTATCTCTCGTAACATCTTCTGAAGCCAGGTGAGACGACGGGTGGCGGAGATTGACGAATGAAATAATGTCGTAGGTTTGAAAGTTTGCTGAAAATGTCTCAGGAGAGATGGCGAATTCCAAGCAACTTGTTCTGGAAGAAACCATTTCCTAGGCACAGTCAGCCTAGGGAAATGTATGAGAAGGGCGATAAATAGTTCACGGCACTAACAGCATTGAACACAGCACTTCTTTCACATCGTGAATACAATAAGACAATTGAAAATGACAAATTTCTGCAGTGATCGACCTTCTCTGTGGAGGAGCTAAGCCTTTCATACGTCATCACTGCGCTGGTCGCCATGGCAACGTGAGTATACAATTGGCGATTTGGCAAGTTGGGCTTATCGTATGGAAGCGAGAGATATGCCATTCGAACCGATATCAAATTGCCTTTCTTCTGGACCCTACTCGAAAAATCGTTGCACCTCCCCTTTAAGTTCTTTTTGCGAGAATACATTTTGAAATGTGTTCATGTATCAATGAGCTGCACAGCATGAACGTGGAGCAAGGCTTGCTTGTTGCAACTGTGAGATCAAGGAGATGCACATGCAGTACAGACTATGAACCGTTTTCAAACCAAAGGCTACTAGGTACAATGAACATGAGGCCGACAATCGGTCAGAGCGTGAAGCATTATAATAATAAAAATTAGAGCGAAAACAGCCGCTCGTTGCCACGTTGTTGTCTGCACTCAACAAGGAATTACCTACGTGGCAAAAACTCCTGAGACGACTGCTTGCGTTCCATGCAGTGCAGGATGACATTCCTGGGCAGGACGGTCGCGTAGCTTTACTGGTACGTAGTCGTTGTATCTGAAGAAATACAACGCAATTCATTAAGAGTTCAGGTACGGAGGTAAAACAGACACAGTACATGTACTGTACTTTGGGTGTCCAAACAGTGCAGTTGCCCGTTCAGTGGGGTGTACAATTTAGATGCTAGTGACGTGAAACGTGGATATGGTCATAAAAGTGAAGACGTTTACCTTCTTCAGGTACTTATCTCGCTGTTGAGGTAGGAACTGCTCAACAATAATGGTGAAGGTTTCACTAAGCGTCATTTTCTTGCCGTTGTTAGTTATAGTTTTCAGAAAGGCATATTTCAGGACCTTTCAAAGAAGACAATCAGATAAGAATAGATATTATAATCATGAGAAAAGAGAACGTATTGACACGAATGCCGGTAATTGGCTAACATGTTCTTGTACTTCAAAGTAAGAATGAACACTCGGTGACATAGTCACTGATGATCTCAGATGAACACTCGGTGACATAGTCCCTGATGATCTCAGATGAACACTCGGTGACATAGTCACTGATGATCTCAGATGAACACTCGGTGACATAGTCACCGATGATCTCAGATGAACACTCGGTGACATAGTCACTGATGATCTCAGATGAACACTCGGTGACATAGTCACTGATGATCTCAGATGAACACTCGGTGACATAGCCACTGATGATCTCAGATGAACACTCGGTGACATAGTCACTGATGATCTCGGATGAACACTCGGTGACATAGCCACTGATGATCTCAGATGAACACTCGGTGACATAGTCACTGATGATCTCGGATGTAACAAGACAAAACATAGGCTCATGTGTATGTGTACAGTTTAGCTAAATCCGCTATGCTAAATATGCGAACCTTGCTTTGAGCCTCGATTCCATTGTTCGAAAACACGTTGTGGTGGTATTCACGCTCTGTCCATGCCCTGGACCACCGCTGTATGAAATAGAACACAATACTGAACACTCTCAGGAACTGCCAATAACATTCTGCCCTCTGAGCCATCCAACTCCAGTAATCAAACACAAAATGTACCTCTGGGATTGATTGCCATTTGGCATTCACCCAATTTCGCACGTGCTTATTGGCGCACCACACATCAAGGCTACGCAGCTTTGATTCCGCTTCACGGTAGTGTCTGAAACACAGGAACAAATCCATGGTATTATACACACATACCACAGTACCACAAAGCACTTGAAACATCAGGGAAAATCAAAAATTGACGGAAAATTCTACAAAGGCAAAGTTTGAAGATGTTCAATCTCATTCCTGTCTGGAGATTGTCCCGCCTCTCGACACGGTGAAGAATAAGCCAATTGGCGCAAGCTTTCTAGCAGTGTTGCGGCTTCATTATCACTTAAGCCATGGGAACGATCTTTGGTCCCGCGCTGCCACGCCTACTCTCTGTGGAAATCACGGAGAAATATTCTCCCTCTAGGGAACAACCTATAGTTCCATCAAGCACACAAAGATCACAATTTTTATCCATATTTGCTTCTTTCTGCTTTTCCTTTTCTTTTTGACTTCTTACTCTTTTCCATGTTAGCCATTATTATTATTATTATTATACGCATTCCCGCGGCAGCGTCAACCAAGCAGTTATGCTTGATCCACACGTTCGCTTATGCTGGACATTGAAACAAAGCAGATGTAGACAGCTCCTAGAGAATGGGGCTCTACAAAACCAATGATCGAAGTTAGTCCTTCAGTAACATGGAGCGTCATAAAATTGGTCTCATTGGAAAAATGTCATCACTATTGTCTCCTCATGTAGCATCATGGTCAATGGGTGGCCAGATAATTATACGTATGAGGTTGAGTTGCCAGATAATTATTAAAAGATTCAAATAGTAATATTATTATAGAATGGTTGTTATGAGTTTTTAAGGGTGCCATGGCTGTTTCTACTCGTGACGAGGGTGTGCACAAACACTCTTCACCAGCGCGTTCCATGCTGGACGGTCCACAGCAATCCGCTCTACACGGGGCGAGTCCTCAACACTCCGCAGGTGCCCATTGTTCGACTGGCACAGATCGGTGTGGAGCTTTATTGGTAGTGTCACCCTCGGCCTCCCACGGTACCTCCCCTCGGGTGCCTGAAAGTATTGCTCCATGCTCAATCGTGCTGGCGTGTCCTTACCCAGGCGAAGCACATGCCCGAATAGACTCCAGCGTGAATTTCGGATCAAGTCCGACACCGGCTCCACTCCACATCGGGCATACAACGCCAAATTACTAATCTTTTGTGGCCATGTGATGCCGAGAAGTGACCTGAGTTGCCTTCTATGGAAAGCGTCCAGGGAGCGTTCTCTAGCAACCGTCAGGCCCCAGGTGCCTGAATTATAGAAAGGTATCGGCATGATAAAGGCGCAGTACAACCTCATCCGCAGCGGCTCTCGGATCAGTCCTCGGCGCTTCCAAAGAGACCACATGGATCGGAAGGCAGCCTCGGCCAATTGCCTGCGACGTGTCACATCCTCAAGGTCGCCCAGGAGTGAGCCCAGCTTTCGGGATGTCCTCCAGCGCTCGTCAATTCTGTCTACAGATCGACCCAGCTCTGTCCACTCAGTTTTGGTGTTGTTGACTCTCAGGGCCCACTGCCCGAGAGTGTGGTCTATGACCGGTTCGAGCTCTGTGAGCCATTGACGACTAAGGCTTATGAAATCAGTGTCATCTGCGTAGACAAGCTCAAATGGAATGTTGATGCCTTGATCCATTGGCGGTCTGTTTCGTGCCACCTGGGTGCTCCTCAGATCTCTCAGTGCTGCCTCTAAGTATATAACAAACAACACCGGGGAGAGAGAATCACCCTGCGGGGTGCCAATTGTAGTGTCAAGGGACTCTGATACTGCCCTGCCGATGCGTACCTGCAGAGTTGTGTTGGTCAACAGCACTCTAACCAGCCGAACATCATCCTCCATCAGGAAAGACTCGAGAACTGTCAACAGTTTGTCACGATGTATACAGTCGAATGCTTTGGACATGTCGATTCCAAGAATGGTCATTTCCCGCCGATAATGCTGACATGTTGCTGTAAACCATCTGTGGCTCCAAACAAGGTCCGCTGTAGATCGGCCTGCTCTGAAACCACTCTGCGTCGGAGACAAGTACTCACCGACTTTCGACGATATTCTTCGCAATGTAATAATGGAGAGCGTTTTGCGTAATGATGTAAGGAGGACAATAGGGCGCGTTCTCTCTCTCCTGCTCCTCCACTTTGGAGCGGGAGAGTTCTGTATTTATTGGACATGACGACTGGCTAGGATACTGGGAATGGGCGGAAGAAAGCCGAAGCGCAGGCCGTTTGCCGTAGGCAGCTTCAACGTCCGCGGGCTGAACTCAAATTTCCGTCAGGACGCCTTGCGACGCGACCTAAAAAGCTATCGTATCGACTTGTGTTGTCTTCAGGAAACAAAGCTGACTAGCAGCCTTGACACTGATAAGGACGTCTATCGACTTATCGCCCTGGCACCTCAATGTCGCCACTATGGGCTTGCATTTGTTGTGTCGTCTTCGTTATCGTCGCAAATTCAGAAATATTGGAGCTTGTCGGACCGAGTGGCTGTGCTGACTATCAACCTGCCTTCACGGGCGGGCAATGGAGGCACCAAGGCATCCACTCTCGCCATTATCAATGTGTACGCACCAACGTCTTCGTTAGTTGCCCGCGACGCTGATGAATTGGACAAATTCTATTCCGACTTGAATAGTGCATATAATCAAATAAAATCGTCAGCTATCGTCCTCTTCGCTGGAGACTTCAATGCTAAGGTTGGGAAAAAGTCGGATGCAAGAGAAACATGTGGGAGGCATGGTAGAGGGAAAAGGAACCTGAGTGGCCAAAGCCTGATAGACTTTTGCCATGCTAGTGACTTGTTCATCTGTAACACTGCCTTTCAGCATAATGCACGGCATGTGACTACTTGGACAGGACATCGCAGGGATGGAGCCAGTGGAGCTACTGTTCCTGTGTATAACCAAATAGATTACGTGCTGTGTAAATCTACCCAGAGGCGGCTTCTCCTTGACAGTCGTAGCTATGGTGGATGCACCCTCTCGTCTAACCACAGGCTCGTTGTTGCGCGGTTGGACCTCCAGAGGCTATATGGAATATTTGGACAGAGGAAGAAAGATGATCTGCAGGCGCCTAAGTTCAACACATTCAAACTAGCCGAAGGACAAGTCCAAGAGGAATATGCTGAGAAGTTGGCCAGTGAGCTGCTAGCTGCCGATCAGGTCCAAGGCAATACCGGCCTGCAGGAAAGATCCCGGAGGCTTATGGAAGTGGTCAGGAGTGCAGCAGGTGATGTCCTTGGCACAGTCCAGCAGAAAACTCGTCGCAAAGCACCAGATCATGAAATTGAGCTGCTGTCCCTGGAACAGAGATCACTGCGGATCAGCATTGGTAGCACTAACAACCCTGACACCAAAGCATCTCTCAAGACGAAACGAAACAGAATCCTTCACGCAATGCAATGCAGAGAAAATTATGCAAGAGAGAGCAGCGGAAGTCGAGAGGTTGAAGAATGGAGCACGGATGTCCAGACACAATCGGCACCGTGGATCCCAGCACCGGGGGGACCACCGTCTCGGAAGTCACCAAAGGTAAAGGGGGTGGCTCAGGCGAAGGGGGATCAGTGACCTGGCCACCACTTCTTGACCCACGGCGAACGGCAGCGGAGCCTACTCTAGCACAGCATCATCGTCCTGGAATGGAGGAGGGGCCACCGAGAGACACTGAACCCTCACCTCAGCAGGTGCCCTTGCCTCCGCCTGAGCCACCCCCTTTACCTTTGGCCTTTGGTGACTACTGAGACGGTGGTCCCCCCTGTGCTGGGATCCACGGTGCCGACTGTGTCTGGACAGAGAGGGAGATCATCGACAAACCAAAATGAAACCAATATCCTTACCCATAGACCCCGAAGAAGCACAGCTAACTATTCACTTGAAATTTATGCACGGAATGGACTTGGCCCACGCAAATTGGACAGTGGAAATGGGTGTGCAGTAGCGGAGAACCCAGCAACGGTGACGCGGAGCAGCGGTCAAACGACTTGTGATGCTGTTGGAGATGATGGAGCCATGTTGGAGGCTGATACGGAGTGCAGTGAGACTGAGCATCAAACGGATGATGAGGAAGTGACTGATGAAGATGATGGTGGTGATGAGAACGATGATGATGAAGATGAGACGGAGGACGAGGATAAGGCGGAGGAGGTTGAGGGAAAGGAGCAGGATGAAACGGAAGAGAGCGACGTGAGCAAAAAGTCAGCTGTATTTTGTCACTTGTTATCACGTCCAGATTGTCTTAGTGTGTACGATGATTCTCACTTTTCTGTTTTTTGCGTGCAAGTTATGTTAAGCAGTTGAAGGTTCTGGAAGCTGTATGTATTCGTGTGCATAATCCTGTTCTTTGTAAACAAAAGAAGCATGTAGTCGCGCTAAAGTTGTTCTCGTAGCTGGTTATCAGATGTAAATGTTGTGTCATGTTGCACTGTATCACCTCATGCTTTGTGCATTATGTTAGCACTATGGTTGACACCTATTATGTAATGCTGTATCACTTCCATTTTTTTGTTCACACTTTTAATTATGCTGTTATAAAATGTTCTATTTTTTGTACACAGTACCCTCAGTTCCGATACTATTCACTGATGAGCGGAACACGAAAATCGATTTTGAATAACATAAAAATCCTTAAAAATTTCCATAAAATAAATAAATTATTAAATAAATACAGAGAAACATGCGAATGCATACGGAAAATATGATCGCAGCAGAACGGGAAAAATAATTACCTTCTACTTCTTCATCATTTGCTTGAGGGAAAATGCAAACTGGAAAAGTCAGAATAAAAAGTATGACTGTCACCACCAGAACCTCCTACTTGTTTAGTTTTTAAATTCTCAAGCGGTAACCATAACTAACCAACAACCATAGCTTGCTTGGTGATGCCAATGCGAACAAGCTTACAATAATAAAACAATAACCGTCACTACGCACAAGGGTGAGCCGGTTTAATAATGCGCCTCCAAAACTTCCAAAGAAACCCCATAATTACCACCTCCAATGGAAGCATCTCAGCCTGGGAATAATCCGTCATGAAAACCTTCGGTTTCCAACACGGAGTTCTTTGCTTGATGACAGCGAGAGCTTCAGCTATGTCAGCATGTCTTCCCGAGTGGACGCAACATTCTACGCACAGTGAAATTATATCAGACAGGACAACTGCTATTCCTTTGTAAGACTTAAAATTGTGAAAGATGACTCATGTCCTTTGAGGGTGCCAAGCCTAAAACATAGACAACGGAGAGGAACCATGAATCGTGAACAGTACTTGAAGTATTGTACTCTCCATCATTGCAAGCCACTTACCTGCCACACCGATGTAGCCTGTATTAGTGTGCACAACCAAGAAAAACAAGGCTAGGTCATAGCACGTTGTGCGGTATGTAGCGTCCATAAGAACGAGCTCGCCATACTTTACCAGAAGCTCTCTTTGCAATACCTCCTGGTGTATCACCAGCAGGCGTGAAGAGGCCAGCATGGGATCCACTAGCGGCTAGTCATCACCGCCACCGCTGCCCTTATGTCTGTGTCAGAAAAATTAGAGCATCACAAGGTTTACAATTCAGATTTCAGATTCAGATTTCAGATTCGCTTACGTTAGACCGACTGCAAGCCGTTGCTGCTCGTTCATATCTGCTTTGTAAGACCCGGCACCCACCTGAGTGGGAAACTCCGAAGCAGATTCTTAATCGTACTTGTGACTGATCATCCCTGAAGTGGCGTCGTCATATTCTGTCCTTGCTGTATTTTCATCATGTCTTTTACCAGTTTCCGTCTTTGCTAATTCGTTTCAAATTCAATGTATCCCTTAGTTGTCGTCACCCGTTCTCTATAGTTTTACCCCGGTCTGGCGCCCATTTCCTTAAATCTCCTCTCTTCAGATTATCTGTGGAATGGAACAAACTTCCAGAACACATTCGCTGCGTTCAGTCCTCTGTCAATTTTCGCATTGCTCTAAAGGCTCATTACTCACAGCATAGATATTCTCTGACTGGAATTCCGAACTTTTCCGTTTGAGAAATTTTTTCCTTGAAATTTATCCTTGCTGGGTTTTTTCATCTAAAAAAAATGTATTAACTGCAGAGTTGATTTCTTCTCTCGTCGATTTCTTTCCCGCTTTTATACCTCGTTATCACATATCAGGTGATGGTTTCCATGGATTGAACCAATCAGAGGCCTTCGTAGGCGGGTGATATAGGCCGATATCACCCCGCCTAGCCCATATCACCCCTGCTGCTCTATATCACCCCTGCTGCATACACCGTTCGCATATACTCGAAAGCGTACTATAAATGCACTCCAAATTTAGCACTTGAGTATTCCTGCTAGGCCCTACGCTACAGGCCCTACTGCCGCGCCTACCTCCCCCCCCTTTGGCCTTGCTGGCGAAAGCGGTGGGGGGTCTTCCAGGTAGGCTCAGTAGAGCCTGAAACACAGGGCTAGAAGGAGCAATCAAATGCTAAATATGGAATGCAATATAGTACATTTTCGAGGAATTGGAATTTACTAGTAGACTAAGTTAGTAACCAACAATTCGGAGAATAGTACTAAGCCTAAGTTACAGGAAATACAACATGACCAAGGAAAACACGTACCAAGCAATGGAGTCATTGATTCGGTTCCTAGAACAATGAGCCAAGGACCGTCATGGTTTGTACACACGTACACAGAAAGCACAACATTTAATACTTGACAATACTTCTGGGTCTGGTCACTTTCGGTATTCTTACCAGTAAGATGGCTAGCTTTGACTTGGGTGCAAGTGATATTGACTTGGAAGATGCAGATGTTTTGGATGCCGCTTCCAACTACTTCAACTTTTTATCAACGGATGAAATAGCCAACATGTCAGGATTCTTTTTATTATCTACAGCAATTGCGACGTTAGCAACTGGTGAGGTAGTGGAAAAGACCACTACTGAAAAGCGCGTTTCATCAGAACAGCACAGCAGTGAAGAAAGAGTTAAGCGATTTGTGCAAGTGTCTGAGTCAGATCTGGGTAGGATACGTTAAAGTCGTGTTTCCGCAAACACCAAACGAGCTATTAAGAACTGAATGCGTGTTTTTGACACTTGGTGTGTGGAGAACAAGAAAACGTGCGACTTGAAAACAATACAAGCGACTGATCTAGCATCTATCCTGAAGCATGCCTATGTTGAAATCCGTCAAGTCAACAAACAGCCGTATTCTAAGAACAGCTTACTGCAGTTTCGGAGTGCCATTCACCGTGAACTGCAAGAGCTGAAGCGCACCATCAATCCCTATACTGATAGTGAGTTTATCGAGGCTAACCAAGTACTTGATGGCTACCTAAAGCAGTTAAAGAAAGACGGCCTGGTAGCACCAACGCAGCACAAGCCTCCCATCTCCGATAGCGACAAAGAAAAGATCTACAAGCACCTCGGTGACTGGAAGCCAAATGCGGATCACCTCACCTACCTCGTCTGGTTCGTCATCACTTACCACTTCTGTCTGCGTGGTTCGGAGATTCAGGTGTATCTAACATCCGACGACCTGGATGTGAAGACCAACGACAAAGGCAAAAGATACATCACATTAGCCACAGCATTCGCCCAGAAAAACCAGCAAGGCGGCATTAAAGGAAAGGACACGGTGTCTGATGGGATGATAGTGTCCGACTGGCAGGTGGAAGCCGTCCTACTCCTCACTTCAAAGTTGTCTGTGAAGTCCAAGCGACTCCTTCAGATACCACGCAAACATTACAAGCCAGAGGATTCAGAATGGTACACAGGCCAAGTGTTTGGTAAAACAAAATCGATGGCACGATGAAGAAGATGAGTGAAACAGCGCGACTAAGCCAGACCTGCACCAACCACAGTGTGCGCGCCACCGCCATTACGACCTTGGCTAAGCAAAATGTGAGTGCCACTACCATCATGCGTACTTCCGGCCATCGGGATGCCCAAAGCCGAGACTCGTACTTGCAGCCAAGCGAGCATGACAAGATGAAAACTTCTCACCTGTTGGACGTAGACACCATTGATGAAGCACTGCAGTGTGCGACTCCGGAGAAACTGCAGGCCTTGGAAGAGCCTCAGGCACCTCCCTCGTCAGCTTCTGTCACTACCAGTTCATCCACGGTGACGTCGGAGAATAGCGCAAAATTCATTTTCTCTGGCAACTTCAGTGGTGCCGTTCACATTCACATACATGTGAACAATGAGAAGGAACTGCGCTGAAGTTGGCTCGTTTCTGCAGTGTTCCATTTACAATTTGCAATACTCCATTTCAATCAACTCTTCTATTTCCACTCTATACTTTTCCTTCCTACCCTATGCTTTACCTAAGTTCAAACTAAACTCTACTGTGGGAATGTAGTTGTGTAGACGGAAGAGCATGAAGTACGGTGCACATGGTGTGTAGGGTCATATGGGATAAGTAGACACATGGTGTGTACATGGTGTAGGGTCATATGTGATAAGTAGAATATCCCCCTCGTAGCTCGGGTGATACCGTACCCTCATATCAATCCCTTCTGCTTCGCAGTCGGGATTGATATTCGCCGGATCACCCTCGTCCTCATGAGATATTCTTTACATATTTTAGGTACT